AGTTTGTGTTGACAAGGACACCGACGCCTCCAACACCTCTTTTATCGCATGTTCCGAGGAACAATTCTTCTCCATTGTCGAAAACGGCATGGTGAGATTTGTGCCTTCTTGTTTCGGTCAGACCAATGATGTCGTACTTGATCATTCGCGCTTGTACCATCAGGTCCCTGATGGATGTATCTGATGCTAGAGTACGTGCATTGAAAGTACAGACGATCATTTTTGTCTTCCTTCGTTGTGGCAGCCTAGTTCGGCCTTGAGATTTTGTCGGCCTCTCCTTTCTCATCCTTCTCAGTGCTGCCATGTCGGTGAAGCCTTCAGGGTCAGGTGAATGAGACCAGTTGTAGTTACTGGTTTTGGCATATCGAATACACAACGGATAGCTTGCCAGGCTCTTCCGTGCGGGCGGAATACTCTCGGTAGCTTGCCAGTCTTTCCGAGAGGGATAGAGGCTTTTGGGGCGACCTCTAATCACCCTTGTAGGTGTTATCATATTTGAACCCTATCAAATATGGTATGACAATTCCGGAAGATAGGTATTTAATGTCTTATGATGTGTTGTACGGCCGCTTTGCGGCCGCGCGGGTCCGGAAAGCGTCCTGGAGTGTGGCGACGGCTGGGTAGTGGGAGTAGTGATTAAAATATGATTTTAATCATATACAAGAATATAAAAACTAATAATATAAAAATATTTTAGAGGAAAACACATTCACTATGTGACCTTATTACCTTATCACATATTATTACAACCTTGGTTTAGGCAATAGTTTATTAAAATTTATAAACTATAATCAGAAATCACAAGATTGAAGAATAAATTGGATGTTACCACAATCAAAACCTTTTACTTCAGAGTGTACATGAAGAAAGTGAGAAGGCAACTTTTCACTTTCAAATGGGAAAATATATTTTTCACTGCAAATGGGAGAAAATCTTTGCAGTTGCATATTGAAAAAGCATCATTAGAGATGGTGAGCAAGCTGGCGCACGGGTGCCCAGACCTTGCGTGTGTACTAACCTGAGTTTTATTTCCAATGGTACCCTGAGTTGGTTCCAGCCAAGTGTGACCTCAGTGGTACCTAGCATTGTTTGGGCCTGAGTCCACAACAAACAAACTGCTGACTGAGTAATAGCAGGACTTTCTTCCCACCCCAAAGAACTCTCATCTAAATATGTAAATTAAAAAATAAGGAAACCAAACACCTCTTCTGGGGATCAGGGAATGTGACCCCCCTGAGCCAGGATGGGATCCTGAGGACAGCAGAATGCGGCTCAACCTGCTCCCTTCCAAGGAATTTAAAAATTAAAAAATCTTGTGATCCAATAATAAAATATAATTAAAAATTGGCCCAAAAATCCATGAATAAGCATTTCTCAAATAAAGATATACAAATGTCTAATAAATTCATAAAGAGATGCTTGTTAGTTATTAGAGAAACAAAAATTAAAACCAAAATGAGCAATTTCTTGACACCCAATAGAATGGCCTAAAAATCTAAAAAAACAGACAAAATAATAGTTGGTGAAGATTTTGAGAAATTAGATCATTCATATCTCAATAATAAGGATGGAAATGATAGAGTTACTTCATAAAGAGTCCTTTCTGTTCCTCAAAATGCTGTCTGTTTGTTTGGGCCCGTGCCTGGTGGTCCTGGGGCTTATTCCCAGTTCCTCACTCCAGGGTCAGGCCGAGAGGAGCAGCACGCGAGGTGCCAGGGTGGAACCTGGGGCAGACACCTGGGACGTTCCTCGGGCCCTGGATCTCCAGTCCCCACCAGTCTTTCTTCTTAATCGCTACCATTGTTTTATTTCGGTGTAATAAGCAATTTGGAGTATGTCTGAGGCATGTCAGGTTGGTCCAAAATCAACAACAAAAGCAAAACAATGCAAAAATGCTTCTGTTCAGGTCTGAAATACTGACCTTTCATATTTTAAAGCTATAACCTAGATTTTAAATTCAGTGTTAGCCATGTCTTATTCATTATCTCTAAAACAGAATTCACAGTGAATTCGTCGATTGCCTAGAGCAGGCCCCAATAACGTCTCTTTCATCCTAGCCCTGAGATTATATTCAAGGCTCTTTAGGAGAATGAGACCCATCATTGTTACTGGTATTTGGCATATTGGGTACGCCACGGGGAGTTTGCCAGACTCTGCCGTGTGGGCAGGCTACATTCGATAGCCTGCAAGTTTGTCCAAAGTAGGAATGAGATAATAAGATGTCATAAAAAGATGTCCTGATAAGATGTCAGGTTCCGGGAGCTGGATTTTATAGTCTCTGAGTCTTGGCCGCTGATGGGATTACATGGCGCCAGGGGGCCAGGTGGTGGGTGTGACCCCCGCCTACTGGAATTTGGAGGATCAGATCCACCCAGATCACAGTGAATATATATATTTAATTACATGTGAGTGAATAACATATGATTATGCAAGTACCTGGTGATCAGTTATGATGAGTGATTTTTATAAATCTTAAACTGTCCTTCTTTAGACAAAGGAAAAATAGCAATGGAGACGTTTGTGTCTCTTTGTGTGCAAGATTAGGTATTTTCCAAATATATATCATCATTTTAAAGGGGATAGATTCACCAGGGGTTTTTGTTTGTTTGTTATTGTTTTTTTGATCGCAGGCACCTTAATCATGCTCCCAATGGTGGTCTATTTATTTGATGGGAACTCTAATGGTTTCTGATAGTTGCACAAGTCATCAGATGCAGAATATTGATTCCTTCAGGGGACCAGTCAATAACAGAATTGCTCAAGTTTAAATGATCCCTCAGAGATCATTTAGAAAACAGTTCAAGGCCGTTTAGCAGACATTTACAGGGCGACTCCTCATGGAGGTCTTCTAGACCTTTCCAACATTTATTGTGGCTTCTCAATTACTTGGAAAATGACTATTTCGAAAAGAAACCCAGAGGAGTAAAGTTTCTCATCATTGGATACGAAAACTGGTGGGACCAGTTTTCCGTACAAAAATTTGGCTCTTTGGGGCCAGAGTCTTAGTACAGTGGGTAGGAAGTTTGTCTTGCACGTGGCCGACCCAGGTTCGTCCCCCGGCATCCCATTTGGTCCTTCATGCATTTTGCAGGAGTAATAATTGCCAAGTCAGAAGTAACCTCTGAGTATTGTCAGGTGTGACCCCAAAACGAGCAAGCAAAACTGAAGATGTGTCCCTTTGGCCATAGAAGAGCAATAATGCATCAAATATTTTCCCACATATGAGTAGATTTTCATGAACTTCATTTGCTTATTTCAACAGAGAATAGTTAGTCAAAAGGAGCATTGCATTAATTCGTATGTATGGGCATCAAAGTCAAATCTTGTTCTCAAACGAAAAGTTCTCTAGCAGTCTCAATTCTTGTGGTGTGTAAGGCAGTAGAATCCGGCCAGTGTCCGTTCAGGGAGACGCGGGGCGCAGCGGGGTGTCCTGGCATGCAGCGCAGAGAGAAGCAGGAGATGAATAATCTTAATAGAACAAAGACGCCTGATGGCATGCTTGCTGGCACATTTTCCACTTCAAAAAAATTACATGCTGAATTTTATTATTTTGCTCGCTAAACCCTATCAATCTTCATGAGCGTCTAATTAAGAAAATATTATTCTTGGAGGGACTTTCTGCTATTATCAAATAACTTGGAAAAGAGATGGAAAAGTACTGGTTGTGTAACTGTTGTTAGAATTTCCAGCTACTTGAAATGTTAATGTAAGACCGCAAGGTGCTCTCTCTTTTTCTGTGCACTTTATTTTCCCCCTTTTTTATTGAATCGCCATGAGATACGCAGATACAAAGTTGTTCGTGATCTGGTTTCACTCATACAATGTTCCAACATCTGTCCTTCACCAGTGCACAATTCCCCACTACCAATGTCCACAGTTTCCCTCCCACCACTTTCCCCTCCCTCAGACTAAACTACACAGGGCTTTTTAAATCCCCCCCCTCCCTCTCTCTCTCTTTCTCTTTCTCTGTGTCTGGCCCCCCTGTGTTTTACAGTAACCTTTCTGGTACTAAAAGGTTATCATGTATTCTGTACGTTCAAAACAGATCACAATATAGGTTTCAAGCTGTTTCATAACAAATCATAAACAAGAAAGAATAGTCTATATACATATTTTATTTTTGTCATTGAAAGGTTCTCTTGAGAGAAAGAAAGAGAGAGAAAGAGAGAGAGACAGAGACAGAGAGACAGAGAGACAGAGGTTTAGAAAGCACTGTGTAGCTCATTGCTGTCTCTCCATTGGGCGGAAGGTGGCAGTATTGATGCATGAAGAAAAAAATCCATTTTGCGTCTTCCCTAATTACCTGAGATTTTCCTAAGCTTAGGTGTATGCATTGACTAAAAATTCTTACTAAGATAATACAGTTATTATATTTTACTCTTATTTCTGAGTCTTTATGTATCTCTTTTTAAAATTAAGAGTCCTTTCATTTTAATGGACTTAATTTAATGGACTCTTCATTTAAAATTAAGAGTCCAAGTAACATAAAATTTCTTAGAGAAGTTAATTTTCATAATAAAAATCAAGTAAACTTCCTAAATAGTTCCTTCTCTGCCTCTTAGGACAGTTTTCCCATGATCGGTGGCACATTTGTTTTTTCAAAATTGAAGAAGGAACAGAAATCACCTAAAGTTCATACTTTCTCTTTTTAATTCACTTTTAGACTACCCTTGTGGATTTGACAGTCATCAAATAAAGTATACAAGAACCTATCATCCACGCTCCACCTCATCCCTCTGCACTTGGCATCAACTGATCTCTGTACTGTCTTCCTGATTTTGCCTTTCCTTAGACGTCATATATTTAGAGTCTTCTAGCATTTTACCTTTTTAGATTGATTTTGTTCGTTTAGTAAAACGCATATCAAGAATCATTTTTCTTTTTACATCGAAAACCTGCCAGGTCATTAGGGACCCTGTTGTCCTTCCTGTGCCTTAGTAGCATTCTCCAGAACGGAGCTTTTCTGCATCAAATGGCATTAAAGTGGCTGCTCTTTGCAGATCCCCGGGACATCGTCTGTGGTTCAGAGGAAATGGAAGCCCCTGCAGCCGGTTTCCCAGCTCAGAGGGCCAGGACAGCAGACCAAGTCCAGGATTAGCGCCGTGGCCGCTGAAATAAAGCAGATCCGAGCCAGACGGAAAACAGCTCGGATGCTCATGGTGGTGCTTTTGGTGTTTGCAATCTGCTATCTGCCAATTAGCATTCTCAATGTGCTAAAAAGGTAACATCCCCTCCCCCTACCCTCTCCTTCCTAGCTCTCAATTCAAAACCTGTCTTTAAGCTCCAGAGAAATCAGAACTCTCTGGCTTGATGGTTTTTCCGGCAGAGAAACTTAATGCGTTGTTTTCACCAATAGGTAAGGCGATTAGCCTTGTTCAAAGACTGCTCAGAGCTCAATGCTCCTGTCCTTGCAAATTCTCTGTTGAATGACAGACATAAAACAGATGTTCCCTGACCTCTTCAAGCTAATTGCTGAGTCTTGGATGCAGAAAAAAGGTTCTAATGCAAAAAGAGAAAAAAGAAAACCAACACTCAATTTACTGCCCAGAATTGGTGTTTGATCTGAACCGGTTCAAAACTCTGTCTTTAAAGACACGGGGAATCACGGCCGAATTCTTTCTAAAGGATAAAGTGAGATAAGAATGTTTTGTGAGCTTTCATTCTAATCATACTTAAAAGTACATTTGTGAACACATACACACACCGAGTCATGGAAGGAACTGTGTTTTGAATGCTTAAACAGAAAGAACGAAAATCCATTTCCTGAAGTCACTGAATCAAACTCGGCAATATTAATAAAAACCAGCATACAGTTTCTCCTGGAGAGAAAGCATGTTACTTGTTATGCTGCAGACACGCTATTCCGTGAAAACATCTGACCAGCAGAAGCAGCCCATGTAGTGGGCAAGAGGAACCCAAGGCCCAGTGGTCCTTATCAGGAAGGATGACTGCTGCTGCAGACTGGCCCCAGGGCAATGCTAACTGTTTATGAGGAAGGTTGGGGATGTAAATTAGGGCTGTGCTCTGAGCTTTTCCCTGACTCAGAGGCAAAAGCACATTCCTCCTTCTGGGACTCCAGAGAGGCACAGCTCTGGCTGGACTCACACGTACACAGGTGAGAGGTGGCATAGCACCTCCAGGGAGTTTTCATTCATTCTGGCCCTTGCTTTTGGTTGCTTCCTGACTTTCTCAATGGAGGGAAGGAAAAGAAAAGAAGCTTTTGGCTGGTAACACTATTTGCTTACAGATACATCCTTATAGGCCCGAGAGTTCTTGGGAGCTCGGGTCCCTGATGTGCACTGGCTGACAGGAGGAAGCTCGGAGCCCACCCTGTCTTAATTCCCCTGCTCTTTGGAACTTCTCTATTTGTTGACTCACTACAGTGTTGTTATAATTCAATAACATTATATGGTATTTAGGGGGTCAGTCTCATTCTTATTTCTCACAAAAATTCATACAACTGTACTTACATCTTTTGCTAGATAGTGGTTTTAGCTTTTAAGAAACTTACCCCTCCCTCAAAGAGAAAAGAAAAAGAATCTTAGGAACATGAGTATGCTTTTCATGACAATGGATGGGTTTTCTCCCTTTTATGAAATACTTTTTAAAAAAAATTAGGCAGTTTAAATTTGAAAAATAGTATTTGCTGATCTGATCTCTGGGTGCCTCACTTGAATTCCTACAAATAACTACTTGTACCCTGTCTTTACCTATTCCCAAGTACTTACTTACAGGTAGTATTTCTCGATTCTAATATACCTTCCTTTCAAAGGAGAGCAAAAATTTTCTAAAGTCCATTTTAAGCATAAAAGTGTTTTAGTTTTTTGAAAACTCTTTTTTCCACAAAAAAATAAACATTTTTAAAGTATTTTTTCTCTTTACTGCACACATTTTCTTTAAACGCTTGTCTCTTTTTTGTCTACAGATGTACTTACATCTTTTTTCTTTGTCAAATCCTTAAGTTTTTTACTTGATACTTTTTTTAAAAAACAATTCTAACTTGTCTAAGATTTCACATATATATATATAAATACAACACTGACCTTGAGACTTGTTGTTACTGTGTTTGGCATATTGAATACGTCACGGGTAGCTTGCCAGGCTTTGCCGTGCGGGCGAAATACTCTTGGTAGCTTGCCGGGCTCTCTGAGAGGGGTGGAGGAATCGAACTCAGGTTGGCCAGGCCACATTCAAATATATATTCTACTAGGAGGTCATAACAAATCATTCCATCATTTTATGTTGTTTTATTCCATAGTCTCTCACACTCTAGTGTTCCAGCTATGGTAATGGAACATTACTTGATTATGTAAATGCATATTTATCATGGGCACAGATTATATAATCTTGATTAAGTGGCAGGATATGCTTGATAAATCTTCAGTCCATAAACTTAATGAGTTGTAATAAGTTACATGCTATCATTGCAGGGGTTGGGAAAAGGCTTTCGGCCAAGGGCCATTTTGATATTTATCACATCATGTTCGGCAGCGCCATGCAGCGAGAAGGGCCTTTGCAGGCATCCTAGAAGAGGCTAAGTGTCCATCACGTCATCACCGGAGCACATGACTTCTGCAGTCTTAGACAGGCCCATGAACTGAATGTCCCAATCACTCCCTTGTGAATGGAATTAGATAGATTCGTTTTCAAAGTATGGAAACAAATCTTCAGATGGCTGTTAAGGGTATAATAATTAAATGCCTAAAAGAGTTTAGAGTATTAAAAAAATTACCACATAGTTATTGATAATTTTACTACTAAACATGAGTTCTTCTCTGGGTATTTAGGAATCTCAGATGGTGAATTCAATGATGCCGGGATGCCTAGAGTTGAAGAAATAAAACACTTTGATCAGTACACAAACAAAAGCAGGAAGAAATAGTTACAAATTGCATTTTAGAAGCGCTTTTAAAATGATATACACTATTAATCATTTCTCAATAATTTGAAATAAATCTAAAGGAGGAAATAGATAAATTTTCCACTTCTATATTCTTTCAGCAAGTGTTTGCTGTTTACTAGAGAGATCGTCCTTCTAGTCTGACCTGATTTGGTCTTTGATTTAATATTTACTCATTATGCCATAAAGATTCCATGTCACTGTCATGGTCCTCCCATTGTTCATCAATTTGCTTAAGCAGGCCCAGTAATGTCTCCATCGTGAGACTTGTTACTGTGTTTGGCATATCGAATACGTCACGGGTAGCTTGCCAGGCTTTGCCGTGCGGGCGAGATACTCTCGATAGCTTGCTGGGCTCTCGGAGAGGGGTGGAGGAATCGAACCCGGCTCGGCTGGGCCAGCAGTGCGCAAGGCAAACGCCCTACCTCTGTGCTATCGCTCCAGCCCATAAAGATTCCATACAGACACCAATTTATCCTAAACTCATTAAGTGAACACTATCTGCTGCAGAGCACAATCAAGAGCTTGGTTAACCCTTTGATTATTTAAAAGATAATTTCTCAAATCACACCAATCTCCCATTATCATTTGTTTTCCTACAGGGTATTTGGAATGTTTGCTCATACGGAAGACAGAGAGACGGTATATGCCTGGTTTACATTTTCACACTGGCTTGTGTATGCCAATAGTGCTGCGAACCCAATTATTTATAATTTTCTCAGTGGTGAGTCTGAAATTCTGTCTTCTCTGCTTAACCACAGTTCCAACCAAGGGAGAGAGATCTTTAGCCAGAAGGCTTCATACACTCCGGAACTGCATGAAATGTTTCCCCCCAGGGATGATTTGTCTTGATTTTGTTCCTTTATGAAAGGAAACAGGTTATCTAATAAAGAAAATTAAATAATCTTTTTACTTCATAGTTTAGACAAAATATTGAAAAAGAGAAAAATGAAAACTGAATGACACAATTTTGTAGATGGTATATTAAATATTATTTACAAAAATGTAAAATACTTTTTATCCTAAAACTAAATAGATTAAATCTATTATTTCCTCTGTCAACATTTTGTAGACTTGGTGTGATTTAATTGGAAGTTTTCCACTTTAAGGTCGATATTTTTGGTTTTTTAAAAAATTAATTTTCTCTTATGGGTAATGCTTCTTAGATTTGTCTCAAGATTTCTTCTTAGGTTTATCTCAAGATTTCTTCTGACTACAAAAAAATTATATTTGTCCTAAATAGCACATAAACTAAATATATACACACAATCACCTCTTTAATGGCTTACTTATAGAGCTACAACATAAATATAAAATCACTTAATTATTTATAAAAATTTTACCTAATTGTCAGAATTATTTTTTAATTAGCTACATCTTCACATTTGTCTTAGTCTCTCTATGCATTATCTACTTTCTCATTTCTGACTGTAAATAAATGATAATTCATATAGGAGTTAAAGCAATTCATTGTTTACTTAGTAAATTATGTAATTTATTTTATAAAATTATTTTTCACCTACGTCTCTGGATTTCCAGTTTCTATTCGGTTATTTAAGAGAGAGAGCGAGAGAGAGAGAGAGAGAGAGAGAGAGAGAGAGAGAGAGAAACAACCAACCAGGAAGATACTTTTGAAATAATTTTCTTTAATCAGAGTAGAGGCCCTCTATCTTATTGTGAATTTGCCCCTTTTCTCGTCTTCTTTCTCCACACCCAAGTTCAGTCTCCCAAAATCAAACTGCTGTAAGTCTGAGGCAACACATAGAACTGCTCACGTGCTGTGTCCCAAGGGAGAACAGGCTGTGAGCAGGTGAGGACTGCAAAGTAGGGAGCAGGAACTGCCACCCAGTGGGTCACGCTGTACAGTGACACAGCACCCACTTCTCTAAGCAGGTGAAGCCTGTGAGGGGTTACAGGGAGAACCATAGGAGGAGAAGCTTCGTCGTCAAACCTCATGCTTCTGAAGAGGGAGAGCAAAGCAGGGGGCCCGGGCAGCGGCTTGAGGCAGAGCATCCGCCCTCTGGTGCCTGGGTGACGTCTGAGCGTCTGTCTCCAGCCCTAGGAGAGTGAGGGGGCCGGTGCCTGCTAAGAACTGGGACTAGTTTATAGCTTTGTTCCTGTGCTTGCATCTTTGCATCTCGAAGAGTAATTTTCTCATTAAATCACTAAAAACCCACGTGGGGTGGATGAAAGGACACATAGCAACTCCGAGTGCTGTCACTTACCCTGAAAAAGGTGCTTATTTCATTTTTATTTCTCCAATTCCACGTCAGGAACTTTTAAAGACACATCATAGTACCTAAAGTTGTTTATCCTTCAAATAATTCTTGTTATTGTTAAACATGTTATGAAAATTTAAACATTTCTCTATATTTACAGCATTTTTCTAGATGTTATTTTGAGTTGATTTTCAGTAGAACAGTTTTTTAAGCGTACCATAATGTTTTTTCTCCTTCCTTCCTTCCTTCCTTCCTTCCTTCCTTCCTTCCTTCCTTCCTCCCTCCCTCCCTCCCTCCCTCCCTCCCTCCCTCCCTCCCTCCTTCCTTCCTTCCTTCCTTCCTTTTCTTTTTGTTAGAGGACAGGAATGATTTCCCTGTAGTTTTGCCTAGATCCAATACAGTTTCCATTATTCTCTTAAATTGATAAATATCTCTGGGTGTTTCACTGATAAGCATTTTTATTATGTCTATCGAGTACAATTTAACCCATGTTCACCACTAAGGGCTATATTAAAAGGAATGAAATAAACCTCTAGCTTTACACACACAAAGTGATCTGGCTTAATGAAAATAGCCTCATGGTTTCAAGAGCCCATCAACCTTCCAATGACGTCATTACCTTTCCCTGATTTCCCCAAAATGTGGCATCTCATAGTTTGGCTCCACGGACCTACTGAAGTGTGTGCATCCTATTGGTGATTTGTTGAAACCTGTTGACATTTAATTCTTTTCTCTTTTTCATGATCTCCGGTGTGCCAGGAAAATTTCGAGAGGAATTTAAAGCCGCATTTTCCTGTTGTTGCCTGGGAGGTCACCATCGCCAAGAGGACCGACTCAGCAGGGGCAGGACCAGCACTGAGAGTCGGAAATCTCTCACCACCCAGATCAGCAACTTGGACAACATCTCCAAGCTCTCAGAGCAGGTCGTGCTCACCAGCATAAGCACACTCCCGGCCGCTAACGGAGCAGGACCCCTGCAGAGCTGGTAGAATATTTACTCATATGACGAGGAAGCCCGAGCAAAATACTCTTTAGTTTGCTTTGCAATCTCAGCACTCCGACATTTTATTATCCAATGGTCTGAAGCTAAAAATACTCTGCTGATTTGGTATTTTTAAAAACCTATTGCTCCTTGGAAATTGTTTTTTTAAGTCAGCTTAAAATAATTTCTCAACTTTTGATTTCAACATGATAGAAATTTAAGCTCCAGCCGTATTTATTTCAGGCTATTTCATGGCTTTATGTCTATTAATTTCTATCAATTAAATGTTTGAATATGTCCAATTCCAAATGTTATCTTACTCCTTTACATTCAGATTAACTGTTAAAACTTAGCAAAAGTTACTGTATTAAATTTTCTTTTAGTTACAAAAACTAAGCAGCAGTAACTAATTAACTTCAGTTTATAGTTTTAAAATTCAGAAGTTTGTCATCATAATGTGATATTTTAGAGATTGTATATACAGAATAACCTATTATATCAGATCAATCAAAAGCTACCTTTCAAAATTATGTAAAAATATAAGCTATTAAACCTCCCAATAATTGTATCACTCACAAAGGCAATTTTCTCAGGCTTTTAATCTTGCCATTACTAGAATTTCAGACCACTGCCATACAAAGACCACCACTATATAAAGTTTTAAAAAAACAAATAAAAAATGGAATAAATAAAACTACACAATAATTTCTATTGATAAGAAATAAATACTTTACATTTTAAGAATAAGATGATATCTCAGCATTATATTCTTCTATCAAAAATGTAATCATCCTTCCTGGATTAACTAAGAATTATATATATATATATAATACATATATATACATACACACACATATATATGTAGTAATGGAATATTGAATCACCTATAAGTCCCATATTGGGCAGGCTAATGCCATTGATATTTGATGAGAAATACCTGTGTTTATTTAAATCTCACAGTCCCGTCTTAAATCCCTGAAAACATTCACAGTGGTGGGCAGTGGGCATCCCGCCTCCCAGCTGGTCTGATGTAGCAGGTGTGAGGGACGCTTTGAGTGGCAGCCAGTCACGCCAGGCGGGAGATGGTTCAGCAGAGCAGTAAGACCACCAGTGGCAGGGTTCTCCACCAGGAAATTAGCAGTAAGGGTGAAATACTTTTATTTCTGTTCATTACAATGACACTTTGGGTGCCAGGTGTTTCGAATGGAAGCTGCCAACTCAATGAGGCACCGATAAAGGCTAGTTTTCTTTACACATACATCAAACCTGGAGTTCAAATCACTCAACATTTCTGACTTGTTGCTTCGCAAAATTCTACTAATTCCTATATTCACTTTAAAACTAAAAAGGGACACTACAGCAGGTAGGGTACTTGCGGAGCAGCTGCCTGAGTTCAATTCCCTGCACCCTATTGGGTGCTGCCAGGAGGAATTGATCCCTGAGCACAGGCCCAGGACTCGGCCCTGGACACTGCTGAGTGTGGCCCCCAAACTAAGTAATAAAGTAAAATGCTTATGGAAAGTTGCTTTTCTCATGTCAGTATTTTTTTTCTGAAATGAAGATATGAAGAACAATATTTAATGAAGAATTTAAGAATAGTATTTATTTTCCTTTTCCCAAATAACTTATTTTGGAAAGCAGTAACATAAATCAAATTATCTACAGGTTGTTTCAAAATCTTCAAATCAGAAATTTTCCTCGAGCATTTTACTACTTCAAGCAAAAAAACTGCTCTTACATGAAGTTCATTAAATTATCTTGCTCCATATCAGACTGATATTGATGAAAGTAAAGTATCTCTGTGCATTTAAGAACTTTTTTCTTATTTACTCTGCATGAAAAAGATGGGTTTTTCAGATTATGAGGAAATTAGCGCTTTAAATAGTTTGAGATAATTTCAAATTATATTATTGATATGCCTTAATAGCTGGTTAACAGCTCAAAGTAAGACTTAACGTTCTTTAGATTTTAAAATAAGTAGTTCCTTATCATTGAAACAAGAGACAGATTGAGAGTTAACTATTGTATGTTCAAAAGAAAGACACGAAAGTCAAAATTCCGTGGCTCTAAATCAGTGATTCTCAAAGTGTGCTTCTGGAATCATCAGTGTCACCTGGGATCTTATTACCCATGCAGATTTGTACCCGATTTTACATCTACTAAGCCAGAAAGAAACTCTGGGGTGAAACCAAGAATCCTTTAACAAGCCCTCAAAGTGATTCTGAAGCACCAAACAATTTGAGAACCACTGCACTAAATACCTCCTGGTACTTGTTGACTAGCCTGTGTGAAATAAAGTATTTTACTGCACAGGTATCTACAACAGGGGCCGCCTTCATCATCCTCACTGCTCTCCACCTGGTTGGAAGTCTGAACAAAGAGGCATGTGTTGTGTCACTGGGAGTCAGCTCAAGGACATCATGGTTTCAGAGTGATTGTCACTACGCTGCCAGTGCAGAATGAAAGACCTGTTTTGCAGCACCTGGGTGCTTCGTGGATGCCTGGATGACTTGAAAAGTTGCATTTCCCAATCCAATTACCCTCCCGGAAGTCTATTTTCTAAAATGAGACTGTTTCTAAGAATGGTCATCATATGGAAAAAAAAGCAAACACACAGCAGTACTGACAGAACTGTGGGAATGGAATAACAGACTGGACACATTGCGTTCAATATGCTGGTACAAATTCTCTTCAGAGCAGCCCGGATTTAATATAGTACTTAATAAGACATGCGGCACAGACACAGGTGTTACCCAAATCTGCCAGTCTTATGGAACAAAGGGTCAACTACTTCGTTCTGTGCTAATAACACAAATGAGAAGACTTATGAAAAGAATGTTTTATGCTATACTTATAGTATGTATCTCTTTTTTTTTGCTGTATCTCAAGACAATGTAAAATAATACTGAATTTTTGTACTAATAGTGAGGAGGCAAATTTATCTAATACAGACAGAACTTATTTAAGTTCCTTATTTCTGAATTTTTACAAATCCATGAAAACCTTCATGTTTGAAATCATTCATTCTTGATAAAATAGGATTTACGGTTTCTGAAGAAATTGACTTCTAAAGTTTCCAAAAGTGAAATCATTCTTGGGTACTAATAACTCTTAGAACTCATTGATGAATTAATTGGAAAAGTGCCAGGTACAACATTACTGAATTTTAGTCCCAATTTTAATTAAGATACATATACATAGACTTATAAATGCATATGAAAAGATATAACTGCAGTCTGAATAAGCTGAAATATGAGAGTAAGAAATCCTGAAAATGCTACAGACACAAATTGGGGGTGGGAGGGCTACTATTTTATTTAAATAATAATGTAATAGAATGTTTCACACTTAATATATATCATAACAGTACTCATATGCACTTCAATCAATTCTGGGTATTTATTAAAATTTAGAAGCTTTTCAATTCCAGTTCATTTTCAACAGATAATTTTTCTACTTCTGAAATATTACAATTTTTTTAAAGTTGCATTTAGGTCATGTGAAATTAATTTTCAAATGGCATGAGCAAAATAATAGACTTTTTTGAGACTGAATGTAAACAGTCACAATATCATTAAAAATCTATCCTATTACCTATGTACCACAAGCAATGAAACACAGAGGCATGGAGAATACAGTTAAGTCCCCAGATCGAAAGAAGTTTATTTTCTAGAAAATTACATCTATTAAGGAGGGACAAAGACTCCTTTCCACTTGCCACATATTTCCACTATCTCAAATTTCCTTTAGAAGCTTTGTGGTTAGAATGTCTTTTGAGTTTTTCTTGAAATGTGTTTTCTATAACTGTTATATCTTATGTATGAAATATCAAGTCTCTCCTTTAACAATTGTCTTACACATTTAAAGTTCTTTATGGCTGATTAACTGTCTTCATGAAGAAATCACTTACCAAATCTGATGTGTTTGCACACCAACTACTGTGAAAGATGCTCGTTCTATAGTTTTTAAGTAAAAAACATATTGAGAATTCTATAATCACATTCTCTCTGCTGTCTTTGCTGTGTGAAAAGTTTGTTGTTGATTGGATAAGTTGGATGTTTACTTATGACTTGTGTCAAATCCTCGCATTTAAGGATGAAGTTAAGCCCTTTAGTACAGTACTTAACGATCAAAATATTTCCCCAATAAGTTTATATAATCAGATATAATCATGAAATAAAAGATTTTAATGCTATTTTTAAGAGTAGATACTATAATACAGATGCAGAGTTACTTCATAAAACTTTTGTTAAACCACATACCTGCAACTTTCCATTTGGGAGCTTATCTCTAATTTAAGATATTTAATCTGGTTCTGCCTCAGAGAAAATTATAACCTTGTAATTTCAATTTATTATTTATTAGATCAGTTTATATAGGGTTGATATAAACAATTTCTTTGTACTGACATATAAAATTTTAGAATCCTTTTAAAATTCAGTGATAAACTTTTAAATGTGAAATTTCTGCTTTTCATTTACCCAAAAATGTATTGTTTTGAGGCCACACTGGCTGTGCTCAGGGCTGACTCCTGGTTCTGTGTTCAGGGATCACTTCTGGCAGGGCTGGGGGGCCTATATATTGTAGGGTTAGGTTCCTGGTTGGGCACATGAAAGGCAACACCGTCCCCCCTCTACTATCTCTCTAGTAGGGTACTTGCTTTGCATGCGACTGACCATGATTCTATCCCTGGCACCCATACAGTTCACTGAGCCCTACCAGAAGGGAAGACTAAGCACAGAGCCAGGAGTTATCCCTGAGCACCACTGGGCATGACTCCAAAACAGAAATAAGGTAAGCACATACTCCCAAACTAGCTCCAATCCCACTTACCTAAAATGTCGTATCACGTTTGATCCCTAGAATACCAGTGGACATTTATATGGACAGATTTACTGTCAAACTCAACCCAATTGTATGTGATTATAGTATCAGTTTATTGATAGCTTATTGAGCAGATGATCCAAAGTGAAAACCCATGCCTATATTTCATTAACGAGCACTGAGTGGAGGAGACAAAGGAACCTCCCAAGATTCAAGAGACGGCAGCTGGCCAGCAGCTGTGGAGAGCTTTTCAATTTCTTCCCAGTTATCCATTCTCGGAGAGAGTGGGGCCTCTTCTGTTGAGTGAGGGTCACTGTGGGACAGAGCTGCGGAATCATTTAGGACCATTACAGAAACAGATTAAGTCTAGTTCATCTCACCGTCTAAACGTATACCATTTTAGTGCTGAGCTACAGCATTCGAATTCAATTCTAGTTTTGATGTGCTCTCTTCCAACCAGGCCGTATCTGTCCCTCCCTTTCACTTCTCTGCTTATGTTAATCACATAAGTTCCTCTTGGCCCTGCCTCTGCATCAGTGAAACACTGCTTCATCTGAATGGTCCGGCCCTTTCCTCCTCCAGGATCTTTACAATGTCAGTGAGCACAATATTTGGATCCACCAGGATTATTACAGTATGAATACACATAGCACTAAATGAGTCTGATCAACTACATAAGCAATCAAGAAATACGTTTTTATGCAACACTGCTTGTTGTAAGATAGCAAAAATGAAACCAAAGTAATCAGATAAGGGAAGTACTTGACTCCTATTGAGGAAACGTTATTTGACTCTGCAGTGGGTCACTGTGTGTTAAAGAAGACAGAATGAGAGTCAGAAGCTCCTGGAGAGATAAACAGCCTCCTGACAAAGCTATTTGCTTGGAGTAATCCAGAGTACTGATTCTGTGCCTGAGCCCTGTGACCATACATCTCCATTTTATTCTAGAAAGTGACCATGAGTTGGAAGCAAGTGACAGGAACATTTCTAAGAGCACCTACTGGCCTTGCTCTCCTTGCATTTGTTTCTCATTCTCCACTTTAAAACCAGATAGAACTCCACTCTAGTCTCCCAGCTAACAAAGGGCAACCTTTCTCCAAATTCATTTGCCTCCCAGGACAAACTGAACTTAGTTCAGCCAAACCCAAATCCCACTGCAAGTTCTTGTTATCATAAAATGAATGAGTGGAAAACCAAAAGTCTTTTGCTTTTTTCCTAGACTCTCACTCTCTCATCTCTCTCTATATATATATTGATATACAGATATATTGATATATAGACATATCTATCAGTTGTCTTTTGATTCTTTGCCATATCCCTTTCCAATCATAGTTAAATTTTCTATTTCAACTTGAAAAGGATCTTCACGATCACGATCATTCTGTTGTTCGTTGATTGCCTCGAGCAGGCACCAGTAACGTCTCCCTCTTCCTACCCCTGAGATTTTAAAAGAGCCATTTCAATGCTGTTTTAGGGTTAGGAGAATGAGGCCAATCATTGTTACTGGTATTTGGCATATTGAGTATGACATGGGAAGTTTGCCAGACTCTGCAGTGCGGGCAGGACACTTTTGGTAGTCTGCCAGGTTCTCCAAAGGAAAAAAAGATAACAAGATGTCACGCAGCCACAAATGCAGCCACATGCTTCCCGGAGCTGGGTTTTATAGTCTCTGTGTCTTGGCTGTTGATGGGACCCACCTGGCACTGGCAGCAGCTGGTGGGTGTGACACCTACCTACTGGAAGATGGGGGGGTCTGGGTGGAGAAGGCCCAGACCCAGTCCGAGCAGGCTTGGAGACCTCAGTCCCAGGACCCGCATGCCTGGGTTCCTCTGCCAGTTCTTTCATGCATGAGGCCCGTCCGGACGTGTGGTGAGTAGTCCCGGCATGGCCGTGGCTGGCTCCGGAGGTCCTCAGCTGCTGGGGATCTGCTCGGTGGGCGGGGGGGATAACCTGCCCCCCTCCAAGGGGACCCGGTGAGGATAGCCAGGCGCAGGGGCAGGAGACTCTGGATCTTAAGGATTAAAATCCCAGTTCAAGATCACCTAGATTACTAGGGACCTATGCCTGAGAAAATATTTGCCATTTTTTTGGAAGCAAAATATCCATCTGTTTCTTTTCATAGTTGTGGTCTCCATGTAATAGAAAAAAGTTAAAACCAATTTTTTAAAAAAAAATCCTGTTGTGTATTATATAATAAATTTCAAGTTAATTTCAAAATATTTGAGAAAATGTTAATTCATCAAGGAAGAATGATGCAAACAGAATGTTTACAGAATGTTTACAGAATTTGGAAGTGCTTAACTGTTCATGACCACGTGAAGGTTAATTTATTGCAGATGTGATTAATCGAAGAACAGAACATCTCTTGAAAAAGACAAAGTGGTCTTTGGTCACATAAGCACAAATTCACAAGTAGATAACCTGTTTATAAATCTGTGCGCAAATTCTGAGCATCCATGAAAGGGTGGAAAATTACCTCTTTAGCATACACTATGCCATGTACACAAATACTATGTAATATTTACTAATCTGATAATATTCTCAATATTTATCAATGTTATACATTTTAGAGAAAGTCAATCATCTAGTTTTTTTGAAAACTAAAATTTTATTTTAGTGTGGTGGCTTGCTTTACTCGCATTCTTTACAGTCTAGACAGATTCCATATGCCTACTGTTCTAAACAAACTTTTCTTTAGATATTTTTCCTCCCATGTATCATTTATTTTTCATCCATGCCTCATGTTACTTCAGGGTCACCCTGCCAGTGTTCAGGGTGTCATGTCTAACTGGGTGTCAAAAGCATTCAGGGTTATAGTAATTTAGAACAAGTGAAAAGAGGCTAGATGTGAATAGCCTATTTCCTTCCAAATTTTGCATCAATAATAGAATTTAAGGTTATTGATATCACAGACTGTTGTTTATTAGCATATTCTGATTCCTAGAACAATTTCTGAACTTAGAAATAATTCAACAATATATCTTGAATTAAAGAATGAATTGCAGAGATCTCCTTTCCCCCAAGTCTTTGTGTTCTGTTTTCTCCCAGTTCTTTCCTAGTTCCCTATGCATGTCCATTTCTACTAAGGACAAAAGAACTTTTATTCTCAGAGT